CCCGGCAGGAAGGGCGCGGAGCCGGCGCCCCATTGGCGGGCGGCCTCGGACCGCTGGGGTAAGCGGCGGCGCGACTGGCGGCCGGCTCCGCTCCGCCCGAGCGTCACTTCCTGCTGCCAATAGCGACGTCACGCCTCTAACTCCTCGCAGCTCGACGTGGTGTGCCGGCTCGTGACGTCACCCGAACGGAAGCGCTACGAAAGGAGCGGGAGGAGACCGCGATACCGTGAGAAATTGTTTAATATGAAACGTCGCGAACAGGCTGCCGGCGGAGGGCGACACTACTGCTGGGGTACAGCTGCTACCGGGGTTTATATAAAAACGACTAATCAACCGTGAGGAAAAGCTACAGCCGCGCGATCGATAACCCGCAGAAATGAGAAACGAGGGCGGCTCCCGCCGCCCCGGGCGCGGCTCACGCTCTCCCGCATGCGGCGGGAGGAGGGTGCCCTGGAGGGGCCCGGGGCCGGCGCCGCCGGCGTCAAGAGGTGCGCGACGGCCTTCGAGTCACGCCAGAGCCTTACGCGCGTCTGTACTGGTCATAACTTAATCGGTTTTTTCCAGGAGACAGAGCGAGAGAGAGAGAGGGGCGATAACGGTAAATGCAGACGGAGTCTTCAGTTCCTGTTGGCCGCTGGGGTTCTTCGCCATCTCATATACAGTTCAGTTCGTTTAGCGTCTGGTCCAGTGTCTGATGCAACCCCAAGTTCTCTTCTTTCGCTTGAGCAAGTTTTTCTAGTGAGAAAGAAGAAGAAAACAAGACTTAAACCACACATGACTCCACAGCCTTTTCTCTCTAAATAAAACCCGTGATTACTTACCTCCACGTTCAACACTACACCTCCATTCACAAAACAAGGCCAATTTTTGAGGTAATTGCTCTAATTTAGTGCAGTTTTGGGACACGTTTTATGGGTAACGTGACAGACTTGTGTTTTGATTGAAAATGTGATTTATAGCACACGTCCTTCAGAGTTTCCATTGCCCCCAGAGTTTTTAACCAGGCAGGTGGAACACCGCCAAGTACACACTCAAGCGCACTCAAAAGCTTTGCGTTGCCACATGTGTCCTTGGGGACACCAAAATTCAGGCGTTTGCCAGCGCGCCGGGTCCTGCCTCTGCCAATGGGGGCACCCGTGCTGACGGCATCTGCCCATCCCCGGCATCGGGAGCCGGACTTACCTTCTCTGTCGTTACTAGTGTACTTTAGGTGAATTATAAGGAAATAAACCCCAAAAGCTGAAAGGTAGAGGTATCTCGTTTTTATTGAGCTCAGTTCTCACAGAGGGGACGAAGGATCGCTTGTGGAAGCTGCACAGAAGTGACAGGTATTACAGGCGAGAAAAGCTTAGGAAATGCAGCGAGGCAGAGCGGCCCCCGTACCCCCCCAGAGGTGCAGATCACAAAGAGGTCATGTCATTGAGAGCATGGTCAAGCTCCTCACTGATCGCTTTGTACTTCAGCTTCTGAGCGTACAGCTCGTCTAGTGGTGACGAGGGCAGAAGGCACGTTTCAGCAAGAAATGCAGAAAAACAGTCCAGAGAAGAGGCGCAGAGTAGGAGACATGAAGACAGGCAGAAGGCAGCAGCCAAAGCAGTTGGGGAGGAAAACAAAAGAAGAAAACAGATGCGTAACTGAGTATCGGTATGAAAGCAAAAAAATCCACACAGCTGCCAGGTCAGAAGCTTCACCTACATTTCCTTTTTTTTGATCTCACAAATTATTTTTCAGTGATCAGATTAAGTAGGGTTGTGATCTTGTTATTAATGGAAAAAGCCCTCGAGGCCATGTATGTGCGAGTTGGCCAAAATCAGGTTATTGTTACCAGCTTCTGGAAAGAGAACTCTTTCAGGAGATCTTCCTCTGGCCGGGAGGTACCACGGAGGACAGACGTGTCCAGTGGACGCATTGTGCCAGTCTACCAATAGGCCTGACAAGCACTTCTGTCCTTTCCTGATAAAATCTAATCCCCTCTCCTAGAATTTTCTTTTCTGATTTGAAATTGACCACTTTTAAATGAAACTCGAGTAATTTCATACCTTCCAGGTCATCAATAGACTTTTCCAGTTTGGCAACTGTTCTCTCTGCAAATTCAGCACGAGTTTCAGCCTGAAAAAAAAAAAAAATAGAGTAATAGGATGCTGTTAAACAAGCAATGCCAAAATACAGGTTGGGGATGGACAAACTTACTTCTTTCAGCTTGTCAGAGAGAATCTTGATTTCTTCTTCATATTTATCTTCTTTTTCCGAGTACTGTGAATGAAAACAATAAACACTCTTTAAGGGAAGTTGTAGCAACAATGATAAATGTTTATGAAACTGTGACCTATTTATAACCACTTTTCCTTTTACAACAGCTGCAAACACCCTTCCCATCCTTTTCTCCTCTTCACCAAGACATTTCAGACTCTCGTTCAGAAAGCATCATTTTAAAACTGAGGATGTCCCAAGTTCCTTTTGTGCATCATCTTACGCCTTAATGGGCTTACCTTCTTGTGCGGCACAAAAACAGCTGAACGTACAAGAGAACGTGAAGCCTCCCATTACCAATTTAGACTAGCCAGAAAAAACTGTTTAATGAAATCGAGTTTCAACAAATTTATTTATTAAGAGGGCAAAAACCACAAAAAGAGCAAGATCAGAAAATCAAGAGCAGTCAGCAGCGTACCAGTGTGGGAAACGGGAGATTTAGGTCCTGGCCTGAAGCAGTGTTGCAGATAATTACCAGATTACAGACTTGGGTTCGGGCAGAACTGATTCAGCGTTATCAACAGTCTCTGTTAAACAGGCAGTTGGCTAAACCCTTTGCTTATTTTGATTATTTCTAAGAATTTTATTTACAAGTTTTGACTTTGCCCCTATCCCTCAGTTTACTGAAAGAACCAACCTTTTCAGACTGAGCTTCCAAGGACTTCAGGTTGTTAGTGACGTTCTTTAACTCCTCTTCAAGGTCACTACATTTACTATAGGGGGGGAAAAAAAGGTATAAATGACTACTGTCTCTGTTATGACTTAATTTAATTTTCAAAGAGTCTAAAAATACAAGGGATGAAGTAATTATTAAGTCTGAAAGGAGAAAATTTGGTATGTAGGCTACAAAAAAGCTTTTCTACATGCCCGCCTACCAGTAGTAGATTTTTCTACTTGAAATACAGCTTTGACCTTTACTGTATTCTAAACTGCTTCCGTGTATACGAAATTACTCACACTTCAGACACCTCTGCACGCTCTTCAGCTCTTTCCAGTTCACCCTCCAAAATAACCAGCTTACGGGCAACCTGTAAAGAGACAATAGCTGTATCAAGCCAGTCTGTAATTTCTTACATGTTTCTCTCAAAGCACTACGCTCGTGCTTTCCTTCTGAATGATAGAATTAGGTTAAAACATACATGCACAGACATGACAGACTTTTTCCCCAAATAAATTAGATTTTGCAGTGTTCTTAGCATTACATATCTAAGGTGCTGCCAAAGTCACTATTAAAATTACTCCTTTTTGGGAACCTTCCAAAGGCGAACCATCACACAGTGAAAAGCACACAAAGAATGAGTACACTGAAGAGTAACAAAGTTGTTCGTGGTTCTCCCGTAAGTTTAATCATTTCCTTATCTCTTTTACCTCTTCATATTTGCGGTCAGCTTCTTCAGCAATATGCTTAGCCTCCTTCAGTTGCATTTCCTGAATTTCCATTTTCTCTTCATCTTTCATTGCTCTGTTCTCAATAACCTTCATTCCTCTGCAGAAATCACAGCAAATATGTTTAATGTAGAAGCATTTTAGCACTTCTCTCTCAAAGGTCCTAAAGCGGAATTCCCTATTTGTAACCAAAAAGCGGCTCGTTGTGCCCATACTAACGTGTTCTTCAAGGCTAACAGAATTACTCATTCAAGCTTATCAAAAAGTTCCGAGTCTCTGACCTGCAATCCACATTAACACATGCAGATACTAAATGATACAGGAATATTTTATTCATATATACTCAATTTTTACTGGGGAAAAAAAGGAAATGTACCTCTCACTCTCATCCGCTGCTTTCTCAGCCTCCTCCAGTTTCTGCAAGGCTGTGGCCAGCCGTTCTTGGGCACGATCCAACTCCTCTTCCACTAGCTGGATACGTCTGTTCAGAGCTGCCACCTCACCTTCAGCCTACAGGAAATACAATCACCCAGAACCGAGGTTATGTACAAGCCACTGACTGGCTGACAAATGTTCTCAACTAACCAGTTTTCCTTAAAACTGCAAAGGCTTCTCCTTGGTAGGGAGCAGAGAAGCTCTAGGAACCTTTCTGTCTCTGCTCTTTGTTTGTTTAAACTGTGGCATCTCAGGAATTTCAAGGTATGGAGTATGTGCTTCTCCTTTCTTTTTTTTTAAGGTACCTATCATTCCTGCTACACAACAAAGGATTTGACACCGATTGCCAAGGGAGAACTATTTTCAGATCACTTCACAGGGTGGGATCTACCCATAGGATACCAAAGTTAAATTGTTTCCATAATGGCTTATTCCAAAAACTTCACAGTTGATTTCTCTGTTCTTGGTTTCATTACAGATTGCAGCAATATCCTCTCATAGCACGCTGCTGAAGTTAAAACCATTATCCATTATGGGTTCCTGAGCCTGCAAATGCTATATAATCTTTACGCAGTCAGCTGGGCAGATACACTTGGCCTCAGCAAGGGAAAGTCAGTCTCCTTTGTAAAACAGGGAAAAATTAGGTATGTTCTTAAAATAAGTTCACTTTCCTTTTTCATTGCTTCCTATGGTACTTAAGGAATTAGGCTGAAAGCATTTCCTAGTAAGAAGGTCTGTTTATGTATTATTGAATAAACTGCACAGTAACTGGAAAGACTATCAATGCTTAAAAAATAGACTAGATAAGAAATGGAGAGGTTGTTAGGAGAAACGCTCACATACAGACAGTATGAACAAATTGGTGTCCATAAATACATAGTGTTTGTTAAGATATGGTTCCTTCAATTGCTTGTTATTTGAAGGAAAATAAAGTCCTACTTTAATAACTGCCAGGTTTGTGCTCTTAATTGTCCTCAAATCTGAGTATGATTGCCATGTATAACTTTTTTTGACACTTTTATGGGCTCTATATGCTAGAAGGGCAGCTGTTTCATGCTTTGTGTTAAACACTTTGAAAAAATACTTGTTTTGCTGCAGCTTTGCAAATTTGGTTACTGACCGCTCCTCCTAGGCTGGAGGAAGTGGTTTCCATTCATAGCTGCACCATCTTGGAAAGGATTTCACTGACTGATCCAAATGGAAGCTGACCCAGGATTCCACCAGTCATAAATTATCCAGCATTCATTTGTTTTCTACCCAGTGCTATGTGTTTAACTTTCTTGATTTACACACAAGGCATCGATCCTGTGGAAAACTGGCATCTGTTATGTGGCAGTCTGCAACTCCTGCCACTAGACAGGCCACTTTTAAGTCATATTTTAATTAAGCAAGATTCCAAAGCTATGGAGACGGGGCCACTGGGAAGCTGGAGTTAGTCTGGCTCCACCTCTCCCAGAAGCAGCCCGCAGTCCTTATACGGTAAAACTAACTCGCTGACATGTGATAAAATAGCAGGAAGATGCCGGGAAGGCTGATCACACACAAATCTAAGTGAAACCAGCTGTCCGGCCCCGAGAGAGCCGCACACTAGTGGAGAGTTCTGATTTCTCTGTGCAAACCAGGAGGGAAAGTTATTTTCCAGCAGTTAGACATTTCCCAGCTGTGCTGAAGCCAGCGGTGCGGCGCCGAGAGGCGGGAACTCCCCGCTCGTTGTCAAGCAGCGCTTTTTCCTAATTAAGCAGCCATTTCCTACTAAACTCGTAACCGCTTCCCGATGCCGATCGGCGCTCGCAAACGCCTGTTCCGAGGGGAACGGCCCCATAGCGCGATAAGCAGCGGGCGCCTGGGACGAGCCGCCGCCGCCGC